AGACTTCCGCCTAGATTTCCAAGTATCCATACAGAATAACTATTTCAATAAGGTAAAATTTTCATAGAAATGGACATAAAACTTGCCGCCTGTTGATTTAAATCTGACGCCACACTGTTCTTCTAGAACTGCAAAAAAAATTAGTATGAGTTCTGGACAGGTCTAGAGGTTTTATGAAGCACTTTTAAATTACGGTAAATAAAAATTGGCTGACCGTCGGTGGTACCAGCAATCACTAGTAGACTTGAATGTCTTTGTGAAGATAAGGTAAATCAGTAAACTACAACGTAGAACTTCGTATGTTCAACAAATATATCACAATTACAATTCCGATCCTTGCAAGAGATTTGGAGTCATATCATTTAATGTCTCTAACCACTGGTTACGATTGCCTCGTGGACCCCGACCAAGTAGTCTGCACCTACTAACACGGCTCAGTCCAACTGTCTATGGCTTCACGAACTGGTGCACTGATTTGTTTTGGCCGCCCATAGCATTCTTTCAGCCTATTCTTACATCAGACAAAATCGCTCTTCGAGGCAGTCGGTAGTTGTGCATACGTAACACGTCCTAAAAACCTCAACTCAAGATTCACTACTTCAGTATATGTCATCCTTACTTAGTACCCATTTCCTAACGCCAGCATTGCTTAAAAGGTGGTCCCGAGAATTCACGGATAGTGATACAAGGAGCTCTTTGGTCGGATACGAGTAGCCATGCGAAATATCCTCTCTTCTAAATGACTGTTGATACCCGTAAAATAGGACCGAAAGAACTCAATTGTCATCAGACTCGTCTTTGGTTGGCAGAGAGATATCGCCCTGAAGCCACAATTGTCATAAGTTGGCAAAAGCCCACAAAGCCTTCTGAATCCTCACCGAGATTTCACCAGACTTCAGGCTATCAGAACTGTTTTGCTATCCTTGCCTACTATTCAGGGTCTAACCTCAACATTACTCCATTTGTGGCGTAAAAAGCGAAAAATTCTGAGATGAATAAATTGGTTTCGACTTCCTTGATATTCTTCCAGCTTTGATCCATCGTGGCTTTCTCTCGGATGAGTAGATGTTGTAAGGCTTGGAACTTATTGTTGAGGGCTATCTTGAACCCGTTTATCTTTCTAGCATCCCGAAGAAACGCCGTATTAAACTTTTTGTGATGTGTTCGACTAGTTGTCCAGAGTTTCAGTTTGATCTTGGCGTGACATTGGCACGTTGGTTTGATCTCGAGGTTGGGCATTGAAGGAATCTGTCATCCGGTTTAGGAACACTGTTGAAAACTTTTCCTGGTATCGAGAGAAGAGTGATGTTTCCATAGTTTTCACACTTGATGAAACGGCCCTTCTTTATTATCTTCATCAGGCATACTTCGTTCCAGTCTATCGGTACTCCCTCCTCCCTAATCCTGCTAACGAAAATGTGAGGTATCTTCCCAGTTACTGTTATGTCTGACTTTTGCACCTCAAATGGAATGTCTGGTCCTGTTGCTTTGCCGCTCTTTATTTGTCCAATGGCCATGCTGATCTCTTCAATTGTTAGTGAGCCAATAGTGATTGCGATGTCCGTGGGTGCTGCTTCAATGTTGGGTGTGTTCAGTGGGGTTGGTCAGTTCAAGAGCTCTTCATACTGCTCTAATCACCTGTTTCGTTGTTCTTCACTGTCGGTGATTAGTTGACGTCCCTTGTCCCTCACTGGTCGTTCTGGTTTACGATAATTTCCAGCATGCTTCATTGTGGTATTATATAACTGTCACATATTTCCTTCTCTTGCAGCCTTTTCCGCCGTAGCTGCTAGATCTTCCACATATTTACGTTTATTGGCTCTGATGCTACTTTTCACTTGCTTGTTCGTGTCTGTGTATTCAGCTTGTGTCTTGGTTTTCTCTACTCATTTCCGATTGATATTGATCATCACCTCCCTCAACTTATTTTTATGAATCCTAACTACAGTATCCACAGACATCCATTATTCGTGATGATGCTTCTTGTGGCCCAGAACCCCAGGACATGTTGAAGTCATTGCCTCCTTAATCTCTTTCTAGTTGTTCTTCTCGGTACTTCCCTCTTCATTGAATAGATGTTGTAAGGCTTGGAACTTATTGTTGAGGGCTATCTTGAACCCGTTTATCTTTCTAGCATCCCGAAGAAACGCCGTATTAAACTTTTTGTGATGTGTTCGACTAGTTGTCCAGAGTTTCAGTTTGATCTTGGCGACCAGCAAGTGATGATCAGAGGCCAAATCAGTCCTCCTCTCATTTCTCACACATTCTATCGTCCTTCTAAACATCTCGTTGATGCAGATATGGTTCATTCGGTTATGTATGGTGAGATGCATGTGACTTTGTGTATATGTTTATGTGGAAATATGGTGCCTCCAATGACCAGCTTGTTGAAGACACATAGTTTGCAAATCTCTCACCGTTTTCGTTCTTTTCTCGAAGTCCATGTCTTCCCATGATGTCTTTATATCCGGTGTTGTCCATTTCAACCTTGACATTTAGGTCTCCCATTAGAATGGTGAAGTCCTTTGATGGGCATTTGTCGTAGGTCGACTACAGCCTATCATAGAATCGATCTTTGACGTCTGCGTTGTTATCGTTGGTATGTGGTTGGTAATGACAGAGAGTTATCTGACCTATGTATTTAGTGGTGGAAGTTGGGAATGGTGGTAGAGCATGCCCTATCCACGCCGTGATTTCTTTAGACGACACATCAGCACTGATGAAGCCCCCGAAATAATGGAAATAGTCAACAAGCTGGTCTGCTAACTCCTTATTACTGGTTCAGGTGCCGACGCTATCTAAGGAAGCCTGTTATCCAATCTAATGCTAGTTCGGAAATCCAAATTTCCAAAATGCACTTCGGGTGTAGTTTTATTTCACGTACTCGAAACGTTTGCATCTGCGGCGAGTGGTGGTATAAGAATGTGAGGTTTTGTCGCGATGACAAGAGTTATTAAGAGGTGTATGGAGAGGTTGAATGTGCACAAACTGATCTCGTGTGCTGTGGATGTCACTTCCCTGCTACCCACAACGTAAAAGGGTTTTCCTTGAAGATCCTGAAAATGAAACCGGATTACCGTTGGTTTTAGAGACCTGGGAGCTCAAGCGACAACTGCTTGAGGCCAGTCACGCTCGGCCTTTTCATGGATTTTGAAGTGTTAGCTCCGCTCTTCCAATAGCCTTACTGCCAGAGATCGAGAACCGTGGGGTAAGGTGAGGTGTGAAATTTTTAGGGTCAACCTTTAATAATCCCTCCCTTCCATGTAAGAAGACAGCATCGCTGCAGAAGCTGGTTGTCTGAGAGAAAAACCTTACTGTTGCCAACCCTCTACATTTAGCAATACGAATTCGCCCTCAGGTCCATGAGTTATTTCTTTACGCCTTACCACTCTTCAGTCGACCTGCCTGACATGGTAGGACCTAATGGAACATATGTTACAAACAACAAGGTCGATTGGGTCATTGCGATATGCAAGTTCGTCCACTGTGCTATGGTAGCTGCTACGGTCGTAACACTGAGTGATGGCGAATTAAGATATGAATTTTTGTACTATGATAATGTCCCTTTGTATTGTCTAGAAATGAATATGTTGACGGAATAGGTCACAATTATATTGAAAAATCTCACAATGTGATAGAATGAACTATATTAATATCAACCACCATTCAGAAGTTTTTTCCGTTGTAAATGTGTCGTAGGTCTAAGTTTTATTTTCGCTTCACGATTCCACTCAGCTCTTCTACTACTCACCGAGATTGGTATAACTTTTCGATTTTAATAGCCAGTTGTGGTTTTGCCTGAAGTCGACCAACTAACAGTTTTGAAGTGCCTTATTTCAACTTATGTGCTGACTTGTTCATTGTCGATTATGATTTTCCGACGTATTCACGCCCAATTTTTTACGTTGTGTTTTTAGTTATGGAGTTGTTTTTTATTTATTAGAAGATTTTCTTAATGATTGATAAATTTTTAATCTGCATTATATTTAACTTGTCTTTGTTTCCGCTTTACAGGCTCATTGAAACATCTACCGTTACGAGTATAGAGCTACGAGTTCCGAGTAGTTCATCTTTGTTGAAATGTTTTTATGTTATACTGGTGTAAAATAATATTCACTAAAGATGAACTAATTTTTTAAATTTAACTTCAAGGCCGTATAGTAAGACTGCAGACTGTGGACCACGATAGTTTAATGATTCTTACAGACCGATGAGCCTTGCACATCTGTAAACTGAAGCTAGTGAGCTAAATATGAAGAACTGAATGTAGGCTATCGTTCACATCGTCAAAATGTAGTACTGAGTTACTAGTGTGAAATGGATTAATTTTGAAAAAGATAGTCAGAGTAAACATCTGTTGAGAAGTGATATTCCCATTCTGTGAAGTTATGGACAGATGATTGAGAATATTAGGTCTATTTGTGGCGCTCATCTTAATCTCTTACCTATTCTGCTAACCGATGTATACTACATTAAACCACTTATTACTACTCAGTAATTAATTCTATTGTTAGTCAGTTTGGCAACAGAACATCTCCAAAAACTGTAATATTCAACTTCATTATTCCTATAACTGTAGTTTATCAGTATTTGCAATAAGTAATTCCGATTCTGTAAGTCCACTAACTTATCATTTAACTGAAATGATTTCTACTTCTTTCTAATTCAATTACCGTTTCTACTTTTAAAAGACATTTCACTTTTAAACACAGCTACTAGATTTTCGAAGCAATCTTCCAGTCGTGTCTATTCACGCAAAATACGACGAAAACGCCTCAGCATCAGTCAGTTAGCATTTGAATTCGAAAATGATACAATTCAAATCGCAAATTATATAATTTCTTTAAAGGCTTTAAGTTAATTTCTGATATTAGTATAAGCTGTTTCCGAAATCTAAAACGGAGAAAACACTATTTTTTCACAAACAAGTTGGTTCACTCGATAGAAACCATCGGAATTTAAAACCAACTAGACGGATAATTAAAGTAGAAAGACAGTAAGAAAAGTTGTAATTATATTTCCATGTGAAGATAAATTAGTGTAATAAAACAAAATAGGAGATAGCATTTTAAAAGTTACAATAGTTAAATTTGATTCATCCGAACAGAATGATAATCCAATAACAAAGGAGAATGTATTACAGCATCCCACATTTTATGAACATAAGTTATCCTAAATAAAAAAATATAGGCTTTATTAGGTAAAACAAAGTAAAACATACCACTTCTTCTCTGTGAAGTTAGGCATCATATGTTGTCGAGGTGTAGAGAAAACAGCTTCTTGTAAAATACGGGCTGATGTCAAATATGTTGGACATCCTAATGGTGAATGTCCTAAAAGTGTATGTGAATGAAGAAATAAAAAAATTTTAAACTCATGTCTGCACATACTCCAGTTGTGGGGTGATTAAGATGAATTGACTTATTTAACTCAGTTTATAAACGTAAAACTTGTACATTCATGCTACTAGTAGTGGAAAGTTGAAACTATATCAATCCATCGATAATGGGTAACTTACTGTTTTTTAAAGGTTTCAGAGCATTCTTCGACACAGAATTAAGTATACGTAGAAAAAACTAGGATCGCAAATAGATGCCATTTCCACATATCAACTTAGTTAATCAGTAATCTTTTCCATACATTGCTGGAAGCTAAGAATTCCTAAAGAAAGTCTTCTTCTATCCAATTTTGATTGGATAGAAAAACCATAAAAAATGTCACGAAAAACTACGGATTATTCGACTGAATAATAATTTTTTTATGCTAATAAATCTAACGTATTACCAGAAGATCATAGAAAGCCGATGCTACCAGTAAATCTAACATAAACGCGTTTTCAGTAGATAGGTTAACTTTCAGAAAAGCTTCTCTTCTGACTTTGTAACTTTTCTCTACTGCAAAGGACTGAAGTCCAAGAGTATTTGGAAAACTCCGCCTGAGGCCTCGCTGGGGCTACTGCACATCCCAAGGCCGAATAAAGAGTTACCGACCCCATCCACTAGAAAACTAACTCGCTGAAAAAAATGCAAAACCAGAAACATCAATTCAAACCATTTAAACTCTACCCTGAGAGTTAGAAGGTCTTCATTTAGAATAGTTACGAAATCTCATGGTTAGCACCGAGTTCCTTCGGAAGTCACGAGTCTGATGACCCTTCTCACAACAATCGAATCTTCGTACAAAGTGGGAGACCGGCAGAGTCATCCGAGTTGCTGCAGAAATCAAAAGATACAACCTAGTGGTACTTGCAGTCAGTGAAATACATTCAACGCAGGTTGGACAAAAAACACCAGCTTTGAAAGAGGTGCTGTTGTACTCTGGCCATGAACAAAACGAAAATGACTCGCATAAACACACAGTTGCACTAATGCTGTCCAACCAAGCACAAAAAGCACTGACAGCATGGGAATCTCATGGACACACGGTCATCAAAGCATCCAACAAGACGAAAGAAGAGGGGAATACAATGAACGTCATCCAGTGCTATCCACCTATCAACGATAACAACGCAGACGTCAAAGATCGATTCTATGATAGGCTGTAGTCGACCTACGACAAATGCCCATCAAAGGACTTCACCATTCTAATGGGAGACCTAAATGTCAAGGTTGAAATGGACAACACCGGATATAAAGACATCATGGGAAGACATGGACTTCGAGAAAAGAACGAAAACGGTGAGAGATTTGCAAACTATGTGTCTTCAACAAGCTGGTCATTGGAGGCACCATATTTCCACATAAACATATACACAAAGTCACATGCATCTCACCATACATAACCGAATGAACCATATCTGCATCAACGAGATGTTTAGAAGGACGATAGAATGTGTGAGAAATGAGAGGAGGACTGATTTGGCCTCTGATCATCACTTGCTGGTCGCCAAGATCAAACTGAAACTCTGGACAACTAGTCGAACACATCACAAAAAGTTTAATACGGCGTTTCTTCGGGATGCTAGAAAGATAAACGGGTTCAAGATAGCCCTCAACAATAAGTTCCAAGCCTTACAACATCTACTCAATGAAGAGGGAAGTACCGAGAAGAACAACTAGAAAGAGATTAAGGAGGCAATGACTTCAACATGTCGTGGGGTTTTGGGCCACAAGAAGCATCATCACGAATAATGGATGTCTGTAGATACTATAGTTAGGATTCATGAAAAGAAGTTGAGGGAGGTGATGATCAATATCAATCGGAAATGAGTTGAGAAAACCAAGACACAAGCTGAATACACAGAGACGAACAAGCAAGTGAAAAGTAGCATCAGAGCCAATAAACGTAAATATGTGGAAGATCTAGCAGCTACGGCGGAAAAGACTGCAAGAGAAGGAAATATGTGACAGTTATATGATACTACAATGAAGCATGCTGGAAATTATCGTAAACCAGAACGACCAGTGGGGACAAGAGAAGTCAACTAATCACCGACAGTGAAGAACAACGAAACAGGTGATTAGAGCAGTATGAAGAGCTCTTGAACTGACCAACCCCACTGAACACACCCAACACTGAAGCAGCACCCACGGACATAGCAATCACTATTGGCCCACTAACAATTGAAGAGATCAGCATGGCCATTGGACAAATAAAGAGCGGCAAAGCAACAGGACCAGACATTCCATTTGAGGCACAAAAGTCAGACATAACAGTAACTGGGAAGATACCTGACATTTTCGTTAGCAGGATTAGGAAGGAGGGAGTACCGATAGACTGGAACGAAAGATACCTCATGAAGATAATAAAGAAAGGCCGTTTCATCAAGTGTGAAAACTATGGAAACATCACTCTTCTCTCGATACGAGGAAAAGTTTTCAACAGTGTTCCTAAACCGGATGACAGATTCCTTCAATGCCCAACCTCGAGATCAACAAGCTGCATTCCGTAATCATCGATAGTGTCCCAACCGAATCTCAAGCGACATTACTGATCACTGTGGAACAATTAAATGGATGGAATTTACCATTCTAGATCAACTTCATTGACTACGAGAAAGTTTTCAACAGAGTGGACAGGACGGCACTTTGGAGGCTTATTGGATACTACGGTGTGCCTGAGAAGAAATTCAACATCACACGGAATTCTTATGATGGATTACACTGCAAAATTGTGCACAGCGGACAGCTGACAGACTCGTTCAAGGTGAAGAACGGCGTCAGGTAAGGTTGCTTACTCTCACCCTCTCTCTCTCCTGGATTATGGAGACGTCAACATCCGGAGGGAAGCACGGTATTCAATGGACAGCCAGGATGCAACTGGACTACGCACACGCAACAACAAATGCAAGAGAAGACGACTAGTGTAACAGTAGTAGGTCGCAACATGCACTGGAGAAAATCAAGATTCTCCGATACAACACAACATGCATCAACCAAATCACACCTGACGGAGAAGCCCTGAAAAATGTAAAAACCTTTACATATCTGGGGAGCCTGATTGATGAGTAGTGTGGTCCTGATGCAGATGTGAAGGTATGGATCGGAAAAGCAAGAGCAGCATTTCTACAATTGAACAGCATCTGCAACTCAAAACAACTACCAACCAACACTAACGTTAAACTTTTTAACACAAATGTTCTACTGTATGCGGCGGAAACATGGAGAATCACGAGGGCCATTCGCCGGAAGATACAAGTGATTATTAAAAGTGGTCTACGAAAAACACTTCAGATTCTTTGACCAGACAAGAACCTACTGTGGGGTAGAACAAAGCAGACTCTAGTAGGGTGAGAAATGCGGAAGAAGCGCTGGAGATGGATAGGACACATACTGAGGAAAGTACACAATCGCGTCACAAGACAAGCCCTCAGCCAGAATCCTCAAGGCCAGTGGAAAAGAGGAAGGTCAAGGAACACATTACGCCGAGAAATGGAGACACATGAAAAGAATGAACAATAATTGGTCAGAATTAGAAAGGAAGGTCCAGGACAGAGAAGGTTGGAGAATGCTGGTCGGTGGCCTATGCTTCACTAGGGGTAACAGGCGTAAGTGAGAAAGAAGGAAGGAATTCAGCATTAAATGTTGCAGACAAATTAGTTATGAATAAGACACAACGATTTTGAATAATAGAAATATATATTTATCGCTCAGTTATTTCAGATACTTAGTATCGATTCATAGTACTGTAAAAAATCTACTTGTTCAACTTTGGTATAGATACATTAGTGATATCGCTCCTTGTTAACAAATTCTTACAACGGTAAAATAAACGACTTATCCTCCAGTACGAAGTATGATATAATAACAACACTAGATTGAAGTTCACAAGCAGTAGAGTCAGTAGTGAGGGAGAGTTTTCAATATTTTATGTCTATCTTCTTCACCTGACATTCCATACGTACTAAGTAGATCGTCAAAGTTAGATTGCTTGTTAAAAGTATATTTAGTTAGTTGGGAATCTTGAATACACTACTTCGGAAATGCAAGAAATCTAGTACGTGACATAAATGAAATTTATAATAATTCAATGAGTTTCGATCTAACTCCATAAAAAGTATTTGGACAAGATGAACACAAAACAATAGTGGAAGCACTTAGGATGGATCCTATTCATTATGGATTATTTATTAAACTAATCAGACCGTTTGGTATTCTGTACTAAAAGAAACTTACAAAAAATTCTTCCTTTAACGGTTATGAGTACTTTCAATGACCTTGTATCAGATAATGCGAAGTCTTTATGGACAATCTAAAACTTAAGGGTCAATGCCATGAAAGTAGGTATAAAAAAATATAATTTACAAACCACAACGCTGTGCAAAATCTAAAGAGAGCACTTCTAAATCTAACGTACAAGTCAATTTATAAATCAGTGTAACTTGTGTAATTAGTACAGTTCACCCACTCAAGTGCAAATCACACCTCCATGTGTTGGCTACGGATACTACATAGACGGTCAAACTGAAGCAGTCGGGTGCTTAAAATTGTACGTTACTGGTCGATCTGAAGTAGTCAAAGTCGGCTTCGAATTTATAAACCCAATGCTCATAGCACATATACTTACACTAATTTATATTGTACACATCTATTTCCACAATAGTCATTCTGAGTACAATAAAACAACAACTAACCTTCATCGTCAACTTCTGGTATCAAGAACAATCTTGGTTGATCTAATCGCTTTTGAACATCGAAAAAGTTACATCTAGTGGTTTGTACGTCATGATACATTTGAACAAGACTGGCATTCAACTTTTCACCATTAATACCAGGTACACGTAATAAGTCATAATCAATGAGCTGATCTTCAATTGGTAATGTTTCCGATCGTTTATCTACAGTCTTTTTTTGGTGGCTAACATTAGCAGATAAGGTAGTTTGTTTCAAAATAGAATTGAGTTCATCTTCCACATTGTGTAAAACATTGCAACACTGCGATACTATCTCTGATTCCGACAAGCCAAATTTTCTAACACAATTATTACTATTATTATTACTGTTATCCAAAGAAATAAACCTAAAATATTGTGAAATGGGGGAATTAATTTAGAGAAAATAAAAACGAATTTTGCAGAATACAATAAATTCATTGTGTATATTTGCTTTCTCTTCAGCTACGTATAAGAAAACCAGATTAAATGGTTTAAAATATTAAAAAACAGTTCTAAAATATTGAAGATAACCTGATCACATAATATGACATTCGAAAAATTCAATCAAGCAGTTGCTAGATCGCATAATATTTAGAGAAGGGATGAACAAAATATAGTTGATAAAAGAAACCGCATCCTAATTGGCTATAGTAACTATTTTCTGATCCGCTATTCGTAACCTTGATATTATTTTTGCAGTCATTTAGGAAGCGTAACTTCAAGAACCCCCTTGGTCTTTAATGGTTATCCAGTTTAAATAAATCCATGGTGCTAAACTATATTGAATGAAACAGCCTTCGCAAACCTATCTTAAGAGTGGATAGACTAAAAATGCAAATATGATCTGGAAAGATGTGGGGCATTACAGTACAATTCTATAATACGTCATTATTGTTTCTAATTATCCTCTTTAATTATTCAGTGAAGATGTAGTTTATTTTTTAACAAAAAGTACTTGTCAATGTATTGTATTAGTACTTTGCTGAAAAACCATCAATTAGTTACTAGGAAGATAAAGCCTTGTAATGGCATTTAAATAATTAGTCTACAATCTACTTACTGACCACATAACTATATTATCTTATCAGTTATAAAATTTCAGTCAGTCAGTCAGTTACAACGTAGAACTTCGTACATGGGTACATAAGTTCGGGTTGCTATAATACCGCATCAGCACAAAGACGAAACTGTCAGTTCAAATCCAATAGCGACAAAGATAGTGGAAGTATTAGCAGTAATGGAAAAGACTAGGGTTCGAAGATATGTTACGAGAGGTATAGTTCAGTGAGATAACTTTAGAAAGAGAAAGATAGAGATGATGAGGGATTCAGAAGATTAGAATTTAAGAAAACGCAATGAATGAATGCACGTACGCCATTGCAAACGATTTTGAGCTATGGTGTTTAAGGTCTCTAACCATCGATAATTATCATCTCGCGGACCCCAACCAGGTACTCAACACCTACCGACATGACTCAGTCCACTTGTCAGTGACTTCATGGATTTCTGCATGTTTTGGTTTGGCCGCCCCTAGCTTTCTTCCAACCTACTTCTACATCAATGATCGCTTCTGGAAGGTGGAAATGATCAATATTATCATTTTTCATACTATCGGTGTTCAATAAAACAAAGTAAATCTTAAACCACAAGTAAAAATATTTCTTATTAAGCATATGAAAAAGATACGAATGATTAAAATTATATAAATTATTCTGAAATGAACTAACCCATCATTTTTTTCACCGGGAACAACTTTTGATTTCTCTTGAACTGTATTGACTGAAGCTGAATCTTGAAAACAACGTAAAATAACAACATAAATTGTACTGGTTTTGTTTAATTAAAATGACACTTTTTAGTGAAAAACAATGGATATCTCACCATACAGAAGTATCTGTTATACATTAGAAATAAAAAGCAAGACCTCTAATGAAAAGGACTGTTTTAATTGGGAAATGAATTAGTGAACCTAGGACTCGGTTGGTTGAAGCGGTGGACTATGAACAGTTTATTAGAATGTTTGAACTCTGGCTATACTGATTTTTTTTGTTATTTTCATCTCGTCTAATGGTATGGCAACGAGGAACAACGAATTTCAGTACCGGACTTTATGTCGATGATGTTTGTTTAATTTTTAGTAAATGATTGACTATTACATTAATCAATTTAACGGAAAAGTGAAGCAATCAAAAGTGGTGTTTTGAAAGCGAAATGAAACTATAAAAAATGTTCCTACCAAACAGTATTCGTATACGCAATTTCAAAACATACTAGATATTAGAACTTTTGATACTGCTATTTGGCTGCTGGTGTCTCTTCTGGTTGAGGTTTAATACGAGCCTACAATATTACGGATCTAAAGACTGATTGAACTACTCAAATGCAAACGATTCTCCTGTAATTCACAACGGGAATACACTCACAAAAAAATAACACTCGACAGCCAACAAAGTTAGTTGACGTGCAAGGAACCTGATATTCGGGGAGAGGAAAAGCGATACAAAACGAATTGGTAAAATTTTTGTAACCAAGTTATGAGAGATGACTTTTAATCATAGAGAAAATTAGCAAACACAAAACAATAACGACCAATCAGAAAGCAGAGGTAACGCGGGACATCGAACTAGAACAGGCGAGTAGTTATCTTATCTGAAAGGATTTCGGCACCGTTATTGAAATTCAGTTTTTTGTGATCGCCTTAGCAGATACTCGAATCAAAATAGGCAGGATGGAGTCCAAACCTACAAACTTATGGTTTAAACGTGAACACCTAAACCACTGAAATCCACCGCTCTACCTTTGATATCGAAACAAAAAGGTGACACTAGTTAAACATTACTTTACCTAAAGCTATTTATTATTAGTTACATTAATTAGGAAAAAGACTTCTAGGAAACTTTACTGTGTTGATCGGTATCAGTAGAAAAGTATGGTGGGCTCGGATGCGCTGGACAACTATCTTAGTTTAAACATTAATTATAAGTTTTAAAGAAGACAGTCTTATATATAATGAGATTTTCGTTAAATATTATTATAAAATTCCTTGAAAAAACTTATACTTGCCATAATATGAATGATTATAGGTCAAATTGCTTGTGATAATATGTTCATCCAGATGCGATAACACTTTTATCATGCAGTAAGTAACCACTTTGTAAATAAATATAGGCACCAACATTGATTGTTCTATGTATCAGATGAAAGTATTGACCTTGGGACTATCAGGCTTACTATAACAGTGTATGCAAAATTATTCATAATAATAAAAATAATAATTACTCCTTTGATTTAACTGTCATTTGGTCGATAATTCCCCCATGTAAACTTCAACAGTAAGTTCAAGTTGCATGAAAATTATAAACACATGTAGTTTATCAAAAACAGAGGAAATTTTATTCGGAAAGAACATTAAGTATCAACCTACTAGATTTCGATCCATTATCAACTTGTACTGAAATCAATGTTTCCGCACTGATATTTGAAGGCTTCTGTGACGATGACGCATGTCCTTTGTCAGATGAAACTGAGGACGGTTGAGAAAATCCTGATGAAGTAGGTAGTACAGAATTCTCCTGAGTATCTAGAAAACTTGAATAATCTTGCGCGATAAAATTTTCAGGAACTAGACGATTTTCTGAACTGTTTTTAGTTAGCTTTGCATCAGTAGTGTTACGATTTATTTCAGTAGAAGTATCCTTTTGAACAGAGTTTTGACGTGTAGTTGCAGGCTGATCACGATTTCGTGACCGAAGATGAGCGGAAAGAATTCTTGGACCAACAGTAACAAGTGATATCAATCTTCTGTACTCCGGGTACATAAGTGGCAGTATTTTATTCTTATATCTATCTAATTTTTCACAGACAACCGGATCCAAAAATGCAGCTGCTGGGGCCTGATTATATACATGAATTAAAGAGGCTGAATAATCAGTTAAATCTGTTAAATAAAAATAAACGTATCAAAGGAAAGTAGGTTATTGTGGTTACAGACGAGTTAATGTGAATGAAAGATCTCCATAGGCCCCGATACGATTGTCCGACTTAAAACATCTTTAAAACCAGAATGATTTTCACGAATTAAATAAATTTGTGGTCAAGGTTACCAAAATTTTATTGACAACAATTGTAATGATTTAAAAAGATTGTTTTAACTTTTATCAATCGCCTACAAACCATAATGAACCTGCATAAACTTAACGAAAGAAAGATTCTCATTTCAAAACAAACATGTGGAATATGACTGGATAATAAAAAGTGAACTTAACATAAGCTATGAACATTTTCAGGAATGATTTTTTTTAAACTCTAATTTCTATGAAAAAATAAAATGGTTTAATAATGGACAATATACTGTTTCACTCTTATGATACATATTTCAATGATTTTTGTGAAACGTAACTATCAATATCCTAAAACATTACAATACATCATGTTATTTGCAACAAGAATTCCCATGATACAACAATGAACGAACATAATTAAGTGAACAAAATCAAAGATATCAAGTAGTGGTGTCAAAATAGATGATATTAGATTCTTATAACACTGATAATTAAATCTGTGAATGTGTTTACGTCACATTAGTTACAGATTTATACTTCCAAACAAAAGTGACTGTTAGAATTAAATAATAGTTAAGAAATCTTTGAGATGAACCGTAAACTTTAAAACTATTTTAGTTATTTTCAAATTTCAGTTCTTCATTACAACCATTCTGGGTCTAAACATGTATGAATGATGTACAAGACAAAACTCTCTCTCTTTCGGTTAACTGTTTAAGAAATCTAAATAGTCGTACCGACCATAAAGTTAATAAATCACAAAATGCTCATACATATTAACATACTTATCAGTCGATTGATTGCATTTGAAACGTCTTTAGACTCAACCTCAGTAGAATGAAGATATTGTTCAAGAAGGTGATTTGACGTAGAGTAGTTCCCAATAATTTGCTGCTGTTCAGACAAAGATGAAATATCAACATCTTCAACTTCCAAACTTTTATTATCTTCGTTGATAATAGGTGGATTAGTTTGATTTAAATGGGAAATTTTCAAACCTTGTATGCTAGTTGTTAAATTCTTTACATCTGTACAATTATTAGCAGTATCTGACGATTTTTTATGTACATCAAAATGTTGACGACCGCGTAATGTATGGATCGGCATGGCATTCGGTGTAAAAACAGTTGGTTTAAGACCTATTGCTCTATCAATAAGCCGGTGTAACTGAGTTGATGCAGTAGTTAAATTATCACTGACAACAAGTACAACATGACATACATTTATTAAAAATGCGACAATCTAAAATTTGAAACAAAAACACATCACATGAAAAATAATAATCAAGAAGAAAAGTCATTTACACTTGATAGCGTATTACAAAGAAGATACTTTTAGACTATATGAATTAATCATATTTTTGCCATATGTTTCACATAAACAATTTATATACAAATAATTTGAAGCAGAGATGAAATTTTATGGAAGATGAGTATAATGCATATTATCATAAATAACACGCATTCAATCAATGATGATACAACAAAGCTAATTTTATTGTTACAATATATTCCTTATCATATTAAAAAAAAGTTAATAATTAGGGTAACTATATCATGAAAAGAGTTCTGATAGATCTGATCATGTATGATAAGCATGTTAAATAACAAGAAAAATGAGCGACAACTTGAACAGACAAATGTGCAACTAGTAAACGAATCCTCATTTCGACTAGTAAAGTATTTTTATTCTGTAATAAGAAGCTATCCGCTGATTTATTTATAAAGTCGGATCGTTTTGGAAATACCCACTGATACAAACATTATTCAACATAGAAAAGATGAAGAAATCGACTGAATTATAGGTTTCATGGAAGTGTTAAAAGACAAAAGTTAATACATGTATGAATAGGGTTATTATTGACAAGATATTTTCACTGCTTTAGTTGAGATGGTGGAGAAAACTTGTAGCTCAGGTGGATGATTGTGGTGGTGTTTCGTTCTCTGAGCTCAGAGAACGAAACACCACCACAATCACTGCTTTAGTTAACTGGTAAATAAATACAAGACCTAAATATACTTAATTTATAATCGCTAGGTAATCCAATATTCGCATAAATCAATTTATTCAGCAGAAGAATCTTTTTTGATAAATAAGTTGTCCAATAAGTTAACGGTCATATTTAAATTAATTTAAGTGAATTTAGCTGACCTGCATAGAAGCCATTTCAGCCCAAACATCGATGTTCCAATTACCAGGACCTATAAGAGATGAAAGTCCTGGATGAGTACCCAACGAAGAAGACGTCGTGTTACCAGTAGCAGCCAGGTGAGTGTGATAGTTGGTAAGTGCAAACGAAAGAAGTGGCTAACAAAACGAAATATTACGAGAGCAAATTAGTCAAGACAAACAATTCCTAAAGTATTTAACATATATTATGTCAATTTGATGCTTCGTTTTCTTATTACTATAGGAAGGAGGGGTATATATTTCATGACTTTACGCTCTTAGTTGTGTAAGGCACATTTGTTTTTAGCACCAATTCGTAAAACCATTTGTGTGCTAAGTAAATCAAATTAATTAACTTACAACTAATGTACACTTTACAGACATACTGTCCATTTTACTGTCATTTTCTAGCAGCGAATTGGTAAATGAAAATACATGTTTTATTCACTTATTCTTTTATTTAAAACAACATATATGTGTGGTTCTAATTTTCACAGTGGGAATCTTTAATATTTAAATAAATTTAAATTTAAATATTTATTTATTTATTTAAATATTTAAATTTAAATAAACATCTCTGCACAGGGACACAAAAATACACATGCGCCACACAAATCATTAAATTTGTAAGTAGGCTGGGATACTGTGTAGCTGCCCAAACTGAAGTAGATAGTCTCCTCCAGGGGTTTGTGTACCATTGGTTCGGAATCAAGGTTTTCCAACTGCCCGAAATGGATACTCTATACCCATAAACTCTTTTTAAGCGTCATATATTTGCTTTCCGTCCTCTCAATTTCACCAAAAAGGAAATGAGTAGGACTTAGGTGGTAGTGACTATATACGCGTGGCCATATGAGAGCGTTTAAAGAGGAAGAGAGAGAGAGTGAAATGTCTCCACAGTCGGCCGTACCAGGATATTTAGAGAGTATATGACAGAAAATATGAATAGCGCGATTTAGTAAAAGAACATTGGATAAACACATACTTAGACCGCTAAGATATTCAATTTGACAGAAATCAACCACTGCTTTTGTACTATAGTGTCTGATTCTATCTTCGTTACTTACTAGACAATAGATGTGAAGTAAAGCGAAGAAATATAACATGGTTAATGTAATTATAAATAAAGACAAATAACAACGTGATTTATAAATATAGTAAGGACACAAGTACATTTCACAGTTTATGACTTTAATTTAAACAACAGCAAAAAGTTACTTGGGCATCCAGAAGAATTACACGATCCTGAGTAATATATAAGTTAATACCACCAGTACATGGGTTGTTAGTCAATACATCTTTAAGAGTTTGAATACTGAAAGGAGCATCAAAAACTCCGCAATTATCAGAAATACAATTCGCCAATATATTTAACACTGACGATTTACCCGAACCCTAAATTTGAGGGAAGAAATAAAAATATCACTGGTTACCTGTAAACCAATGGCACCAACAACAAGAAATCCTGAATTGTCAACAAAAAGGTCTTGAACTGTTGCAAGATCAACGAACCTTAGCTGTTCATCAATGAGTTTGATAGGTACTTGCATAGGATCGTCGCACAGGGTGTACAATTCGTCGGGCTTGCTTTCTCCATCAATTAGTTCTTCTTCATCCAATGGAGTAGAAAAGAATTCTATTACACTTTTTATTTTTTTCTTCTAACATGGAAAGATGTGTAAGCTAACAAAACGCACCTCCATTTCAATGACAATATTAGGGAATGGTTGGCGCACCTAATGACTTTTTGCTGAAAGGGAAGATAGTGGTTATTATGGATCTAATAGTATCACTGGCTGTTCATAAACAATGCACGAAACTACAGAAATACGATTAGAGACAAAAGTTGGTCATGACAGGATAACTTTGTCGTTGCAGGTTCTATAATAACTATGAAAACTTATCCAAAATTCTCATCATACGGCTCAATGATCAGGTGCAAGTTCGCATACTTGATTGGTGATGTGGCAACTTGAATTGATGTACGTACGTACCAAGTCCTACATTGTAGCTAACTGAGTGACTTGATTTGAATGACAATAAGAAGTGATGATATCAAAACGTTTTTAAAGTCAAAGTGCACCAAGGTCCGAAAATAAAGCCCAATGACTGATGTGCAGAAAAGCAATACATGAAAGTAACCGAATTTGTTGGGTTAAAATGGTAATGTCTATGACATGAATTTTAAAAGGACAAGTACGCCACTGGTCTGAATGAACATATACTTTGACATAAATATTGGAACAAAATAATTCACATAAAAAAACCAAAATTTTAAGTGTAACTAGTTTCGAATTATGACCACTTGTATAGATAACATACTGTTCTTCGGGATAACTTAACTACAAAAAATGTTACCTAGTCGGGCGCTGTTAGATGATTTATAAATTACTAGACTTTCGAAAATCGTCAATACTATTTGTATCTAGGAGAATTGTGAACTAAATTTGTAAATACTGATATTTAAGTGAGTGCATTTGTCTCATAACGGTAGGGTTTGTGGATAGCAGCAACTATTACGTTAACAAGCAGGAAATTAGTTAGTTGTATTGTGGAGCCAGGCCGTAGCTGCTACCTTGAAGTGATGGTCGGACTTGACTATCGTGATGACCCAACCGAGCTATATTGGCTGGAACATATGTTCCTGAAGGTTCTACCATGCCAGGCAGGTCGATTGGAGAGCGATGAGACTAAACGCTGCTACTCAAGGTCTGAGGGAGAAGTCGGAAGAGGGGTTTGATAGCAGTAAGGAGTTTTCCTCACACAACCAACATCTGTAGCAATGCTACCTTCTCACAAGGAAGGAAGGGTTAGAAAAGATCGACCCTAAAAATGTCACACCTCACCCTACATCATGGATTTCTGTCTCCGTCGGTAAGGGTGCCCTCTAAGGGCTTTCAAGAGAGGAGCTAACACTCAAAAAACCTTTCATCGAAAGGCCGTGCGTGACCGGCCTCAAGCAGTTGTCCCTTGGAGTCTGCGGTCACGCACCTAGGTCTGTAAGACCAACACTAATCTATCTTCCTTTTCAGGTCCCTCAAGAAACAACCTTCCACGGTGTGGGCAGCCGGGAAGTGATAACTGCCCTCATACCCGTGACAGCACACGAAACCGAATTGGTCAAAATCATATCCTTCCTACACCCCCTAATACCTCTCTTATCTCCACGACTAACTCTTCTCATATTCTTTTATCACAGTGCACAGCCAATGCAAACGATGCGAGTTCACGAAACGTCGTTCCTGGTCTCCTGAAACCCCGTTCTAAACTACATGTTGGAGCATTTAATGTACGGACATTGTGTCAAATAGGGCAACGGGAATCATTAGCTAGGACTTTAGAATCTCGTTCTATCGATGTGTGGTGCGTCTCGGAAACGCGCATACAGGATCCGAGTAGCATCATTCACTTGACCTCGCCATGTCAAGATAAAGAAGCAACTCGACTTACCCTCCGTGTATCCGGTAGCCCTGATGATGCTTCCCGGGGTCTCGCTGGTGTAGGTATAGCATTGAGGATCGGATCGATGGGCAGAACACTTTAAGGATCAGTTCAACCGGCCTTCAGCCACACTTCGGTTACCAGCGATCTCCAGTCATCCTGAATGGCAAATCGATTTGAGTCCTCCCAGTCTACATGAAGTTGAGAAAGCTATAGGAAATCTGAAGGAAGGTAGAGCAGCAGGTCCTGATAGGCTTACCCCTAAGATGATTAAGGATGGTGGTCCAGTTTTAACAGTTAGACTGACCGAGTTCTTAGGTAGAATCTGGGAACTGGACATAATCCCATCCGAGTGGTCTCAATCCCTGATTGTCCCAACCTACAAGAAAGGACAAAAGTCCTCTTGTGACAATCACAGGGGAATAAGTCTAACTAATATAGTTTCTAAATTGTTAGCCTCCATTATAATTAGACGTCTTACTAGTGCTTGTGAAGAGCAGACTCGAGGAAACCAATCTGGTTTCAGACCTGGACGTGGATGTATAGACCACATCTTCACACTACGACAGGTCCTAGAACACAGAAACACATTCAGGCGTCCGACAATATTTGTCTTCCTAGACCTTAAGGCCGCATTTGACTCAGTGGATCGTGAGGTTCTGTGGCAGTGTCTGTCATTGAAAGGTGTACCAAAGAAGTACATTAACCTTATACAAGCTTTCTACTCTAAAAATACTGGTTGGGTGAGAGCATATGGCGAACTGTCATCTGAATTCTCTACATCAAGTGGTGTCCGTCAGGGCTGTCCATTGTATCCATTCTTGTTTAACTTTGTCGTAGACATCCTATTAGAGTTAACATTAAGCTCGTCAGATTTTTCTGGGGTTGACCTTTTACCAGGAAAGTCGCTTACTGATCTAGAATATGCCGACGACATAGCTCTATTCGGTGAAGACGCTGACAAAATGCAGAGTTTTCTGATTACCATAAGCAACAATGCAAGCATGTTCGGGATGCGGTTCTCACCCTCGAAACGCAAAATGTTACTTCATGATTGGGTTTCATCAGCGCCTGAACTAGTGATAGGGAGTGAAGTAGTCGGGCGTGTGGACCGCTTCACTTATCTTGGGAGTCTCATCAGTGCCGATGGCCTGGTGACTGACGAAATCTGAGCACGGCTACAGAAGGCTCGATTGGCTTTTGCCAACCTGCGTCACTTATGGTGTAGGCGTGATATCCGTTCGCTAACCAAAGGACGGGTCTACTGAGCAGCAGTTCGCTCCGTTCTCCTATATGGATGCGAAACATGGCCGTTAAGAGTAGAAGATGTTCGTAGGTTATTAGTATTCGATCATAGATGTTTAAGAAGCATTGCTCGTATAACGTGGGACAACCGAGTAAACAATGCTATTGTTGGGAAACGAGTACAAGGTAAGGATGGCAAATCAATAGATGAAGTAGTGAAACTTCATTAGTTGAGGTGGTTGGGACATGTTTTACGTATGCCTAACCACCGACTGCCTCGACGAGCTATGCTTTGTGGTGTAGGAGCAGGTTGGAAGAAAGCTAGGGGCGGCCAGACCAAAACATGGCACAAATCCATGAAGTCACTGACCAGTGGACTGAGTCATGTTGGTAGATGTAGACTACTTGGTTGGGGTCCGCGAGACGAAAGTCACCAATGGTTAGAAACCTTGAACGACATGTCTCAAAATCGTTTGCAATGGCGCAGGTGCATCCACTCTTTGAGCTCTCTCAGATCCTAATTTTCTGGATTCGTCAGCACCTCTACCTTTGTCTTTCTAACCTTATCTTACTGAGTTTTACTTCTTGAATAATATCTTCGAACCCTAGTCTTCTTCATTACCATTATTACCTCTACTATCTTTATCACTATGGGATTTGATTTGAGATTTGCGTCTCTGTGCTCATGTGGTATGGCAACATGAACTTATGTACACACGTACGAAGTTTTACGTTGCAACTAACTAACAAGACTTTTGTCCTTTCTTATAGATTGGGACAATCAGGGATTGAGACCAGTCGGATGGGATTGTGTCCAGTTCCCAGATTCTACCTAAGATTTCAGTCAGTCTAGCTGCTAAAACTGGTCCACCATCTTCAAATATCTCAGGAGTCAATCTATCGGTCCTGCTGCTCTCTCTCGCTTCAGATTTCCTATAGCCTTTAAACTTCATAAATGTTCGGCGGCCTTACATCGACTTGCCATTCAGGGTGACTGGAGATCGCGGGTAACCGAAGTGTGGCTGAAGGCTGGTTGAACTGATCCTTAAAATGTTCTGCCCATCGATCCAATCTCCTGGATTGAGAATGAATGATATAACCATCCTCTTCTGAGATAGTTTCGCTAACAGATGGATTTCTAATACCAGTTTCCTTGATAAGTCGGAAAAGTTGTTTACTATTGCCTATCGCTGCTTCCTTTTCCATCGCTTTTGTCTTCGCCACCCACCACTGTTCACGATCGTTGAGTAGGCTTTTGGTCAGCCTACGTCCAAGCTGACTCCGCTCCTCATCGCCCTTAGAGCCAGAGGAGATGAGTTTTCGAGTATCCATCAGTTCGGTAGATGCTACTGAAATCCACGGCGTCATTATAGCCTTATGGTTTACATTGCTAGCAGATATCACTGCCGTTTCCACAGCCTTCTTGATATCATTCCAACCTGACCACGGATCAGAATCACTTGCATGGTCGCCTGTTTTTCTAGTTCCTCCTGAAATATTTTCTTAGCTTGATTATCATCAAATAAAGCTTTAAGAGGCTTCCATACGGTGTCTTTCCTACGTCCAGTAAGCCTCAAACAAATACACGCTCGCGCTAGGGCATGATCTGAATCTAAACATGTACTCCAGAACGAGCGGCAGTCCTCTGTCGAACCTCTACACCGGTGGCTGATGGCGATATGATCTAGTTGTGTCCAACGTTGAGACGACTTCGGAGGTCGTCAGGTCAACAGATGCTTTTCCTTATGCCTAAAGTTAGTGTTTGCTCAGAATAGGCGGTTATCTGAGCATAGTTGCAACAGACGTTCGCGATTGTCTGTTCTCTGAGCCGCGACACCATAACATCCACCTAGGTGTCTTTCATTTTCACTCAGTCTACCTACTTGAGCATTGAAGTCACCAGCCATTATAACTATATCAGAGCGCTTAACTTTTTGGAGGAGGTCCGAAAGCTTTCTGTAAAACTCATCTTTCATATCGTCTGGACTGCAGTCAGTGGGGGCATAGGCAGATACGACGAAGAGGCAACGACGAATGTCCCTATCCTTTCGAATCCTTACTGTCCTGTTTAGTCGGACGGCGCAAGAGTGACTATCTACAGAGATCCAGTCAAGGAGAGATTGTTCTGCCCTACGACTCAATGCTATGCCTACACCAGCGAGACCCCGGGAAGCATCATCAGGGCTACCGGATACACGGAGGGTAAGTCGAGTTGCTTCTTTATCTTGACATGGCGAGGTCAAGTGAATGATGCTACTCGGATCCTGTATGCGCGTTTCCGAGACGCACCACACATCGATAGAACGAGATTCTAAAGTCCTAGCTAATGATTCCCGTTGCCCTATTTGACACTATGTCCGTACATTAAATGCTCCAACATGTAGTTTAAAACGGGGTTTCAGGAGACCAGGAACGACGTTTCGTGAACTCGTATGGTTTGCATTAGCGGTGCAGTGAGATGAAGGAATGCGATTAGTCGTAGAAGATAAGAGAGATATTACGGAGTGTAAGAAGGATTTGATTTCGACCAATTTGGTCTCGTGTGCTATTACGGGTATGAGGACAGTTTTCACTTCCCGGCTGCCCACACCGTGGAAGGTTGTTTCTTGAGGGACCTGAAAAGGAAGATAGATTAGTGTTGGTCTTACAGACCTAGGTGCGTGACCGCAGACTCCAAGGGACAACTGCTTGAGGCCGGTCACGCACGGCCTTTCGATGAAAGGTTTTTTGAGTGTTAGCTCCTCTCTTGAAAGCCCTTAGAGGGCACCCTTACCGACGGAGACAGAAATCCATGATGTAGGGTGAGGTGTGACATTTTTAGGGTCGATCTTTTCTAACCCTTCCTTCCTTGTGAGAAGGTAGCATTGCTACAGATGTTGGTTGTGTGAGGAAAACTCCTTACTGCTATCAAACCCCTCTTCCGACTTCTCCCTCAGACCTTGAGTAGCAGCGTTTAGTCTCATCGCTCTCCAATCGACCTGCCTGGCATGGTAGAACCTTCAGGAACATATGTTCCAGCCAATATAGCTCGGTTGGGTCATCACGACAGCCAAGCCCGACCACCACGTCAAGGTAGCAGCTTCTTGTGACAATCACAAGGGAATAAGTCTAACTGATATAGTTTCTAAATTGTTAGCCTCCATTATAATTAGACGTCTTACTAGTGCTTGTGAAGAGCAGACTCGAGGAAACCAATCTGGTTTCAGACCTGGACGTGGATGTATAGACCACGTCTTCACACTACGACAGGTCCTAGAACACAGACACACATTTAGACGTCCGACAATAGTTGTCTTCCTGGACCTTAATGTGGCATTTGACTCAGTGGATCGTGAGGTTCTGTGGCAGTGTCTGTCATTGAAAGGTGTACCAAAGAAGTACATTAACCTTATACAAGCTTTCTACTCTAAAAATACTGGTTGGGTGAGAGCATATGGCGAACTGTCATCTGAATTCTCTACATCAAGCGGTGTCCGTCAGGGCTGTCCACTCTCTCTATTCTTGTTTAATTTTGTCACAGAACTTCCGCTAGATATAACATTATCTTCGTCTGAATTCTGTGGAATAGACCTTCTACCAGACGTTCGCTTATAGACCTAGAATATGCCTATGACATAGTTCTATTCGGTGGAGACGCTGACTACCGTGAGCAACAACGCAAGCATGTTCGGGATGGGGGTTTCCCCCTCGAAACGCAAAATGTTGCTTCAGAATTGGGTTACATCGGCACCTGAACTAGTGATAGGGAGTGAAGTAGTCGAGCGTGTAGACCGCTTTACTTGTCTGGGGAGTCTCATCAGCGCTGATAGCCTGGTGAGTGACAAAATCTCAGCACGGATACAAGGGGCTTGATTTGCTTTTGCCAACCTGCGTCACCTATGGCGCAGGCGAGATGTCCGCTTGCTAACCAAAGGTCGAGTGTACTGTGCAACAGTTCGCTCCGTCCTACTTTATGGCTGTGAAACATGGCCAGTCGGAGTAGAAGATATCCGTAGGTTACTGATTTTCGATCATACGTGTCTCCTAAGTATTGCCCGAGTATCGTGGCAGCCAAGTAAGCAATCCTGTTGTTAGGAAACGGGTCCTATGTAGGGGTTGCAGATCAATGGATTAAGTAGTGAAACTTCGTCAGTTAAGGTGGTTAGGACATGTTTTGCGTATGCATAACCACCGACTGCCTCGACGAGCTACGTTATGCGATGTTGGAATAGTTTGGACGAAAGCTAGGGGCGGTCAGACCAAAACATGGCATAAATCCATGGAGTCACTAACAAGTGGACTGAGTCATGTCGGTAGGTGTCGAATACCTGTTTGGGGTCCGCGAGACGAGTCACTAATGATTAGAGACTAGAACGATATGGCTCAAAATCGTTTGCAATGGCGTAGGTGTATTCACTCTTAGTGTTTTCCCAAATTCTAATCTTCAGAATCCCTCATAATCTCTACCTTTCTCCTTCTAAATTTATCTCACTGAATTATACTTCCGGAATCATATCTTTGCTCCCTAGTCTTCTCCATTACTGCTAATACTTCTACTATCGCTACCACTATTGTATTTGAACTAACAGTTTTGTCTCTCGCTGATGTGGCGTGACAACCTGAACTTATGTACTTACGTACGAAGTTCTGCATTGTAACTGACTGACTGCGGCTGACACGGCCACCTATTCAGTCGATCCTTCGATGGGCTAACTGGGTATACTGGTAGGAATCGGTAGGTTTGCTTTTGATAGGACCTTTTCTTTCCTTTCATTATGTTTGTCGGCTAACTGATTCTACGTTGAGGGTACACATACCAGAATCATGGACAGAGGCGACTTAACATAAACCCGTAGTACTGTCTAGGTACTGTAGTATCACAGTGACAGTGAACCCGGCCACTGAATGTTACATTCAAATCCATAGTCACAGGTTTTGACTTAGAACGATTAGGCAATATAATCATCGTCGTCATGTCCTTCCTAAACAGTAGACTGCGTTACTGGAGTTTTAGGGTGTTTTGTTTCTCCTCTCTATTTGCTTACTAGTCTTAGTAGGAATCTGAATCTGAATGGAAGTGTCATACTGATGTCTTAGTTAGAGACTTACTCAAGGCACTCGGGTCGAGTGACCCATTTTATGCATATCACCACGAGGTTTACTATCCAGTGTGGATTTGTACTTTTCACAACCCTGTTGCTAGAAATCGGGATTTTCGAATCTTTACAAATCCCAGAATTTAGATACCTAATATTTGTCCTAGTTTTTTGTGGTGTAAGCACTAGTAGCAACGCTATTACTTTGCATGTTGCTTAATATACTAAACAGTAGACTGCGATAATAAATTACGTGAATATATACTACGCAAGAATAGAACATGAAAACCACATGAAAATGAAACACTCCCTTGGACCGTCTAATGAAGGAAAACGAAAACTGTGCCCTCTGAAACGTTAGAATACTCTATTTTGAGAATAAAATCGGGTCGTCTCTTATTATTGGTCAGCAATCAGCAAAGTTAAGTTTGAATCGAAGTGCGTTAATAAATTCATTAACCCGTGCAGTATGGTGAAAAAGGAAACGTCCACATGAATAGAAAAATTAAATTTTAAAAATGACATACACATGCAAGAAACGACTTCTGATTTTCAAACAGGTATGATTATCAAATATACCTTTGATTTTTGCTATGGTATAGCTTAGAGGCAACTCTCTTAATTAAAAACATTAACTGCTGTAAACTTATAGGTGGTTTTCATGGGAAACAGTGACAAAAAGCACACTGTTCACAAACTCTGAAAAATTTTCTATAAAAAAAATCACAAAACGATCACTCACTGTTTTGTAACGTACTGTACAAGTGAAGCGCGTTAAAGCCTCGATCTTATTTGTGGAAGATAGAAAATCTCAGTAAAGACTTATTGGAAATTGTATTTCGGGTAAATGACTGATAGAATTTAGGATATTTCGTTTCAAAATAAGTGAGAAAATGAGACAACTGTTCATCATCGACAATGAAAAAGATCAAATGATTCAACATTTTATGAACAGAATCGAGGCGTTCACTCAACGTGCTTCTATAACTTGTAATTGTGTATCATTGATGACTTCAGGCAGGAGACATGGTATCTTCTATGGGCAAAGTAAAAACTTTAATAAATTATAACGATTTACTAAATCAAGTGTTATTGGGAGGTTGTTTGGATCACTTAGCCAACAGCAAATTCCGGAATTTGACTACTCTTTGAGAGTAAAAGATTTGTCTACAGTTTTTTCTATTATGTTGCGCTTCTATTGTCAGAATACTGCCCCTCGGTTTATTAGGTCTAAGCCGAATGATGTATTTTAAGGGATATCCAGGAGTCGTAAGAATGTTAAAAATCTCCAGAAATTTACTTCTGAGACATTTATAGCTCAGTCAGTAATAATGTAGTGCTTTGAGGTACTTTTCATAAAGTGTGAATTTCGGATTGTCTTATGAGATAAACTGCGTAGAGATTTTTAAAACAGTCCTAAGGATTTGTTCTGGATCGCTTCGTAACTCTACGTTTCTGGATAAATTCAGTCTGATTAGTACTTGATGTCGATGAACGAGGCCTCGTGAAAACATTTCAGTACTGTTCTCTACTGATAACAATGGAAGGACACGCGTTTACAGTAGTCACCGAACAGCGGGTCCGATCTAAAATCGCAACACACAGAGTTAGCTCAACACTTCACACCAAGAGAGAGAACACGAAGTCGTCGTCAAGGCTATCTTTATTTTTAAAACTTAAACACGCGGGGTTTCTACAGAAATAGAGTGGGTGGTGTGCCGAGGTCTTATGAGTCCTCCTGTAAGCTCAGAGCATTCTGGGCTTGTTCTTCTGCTTCCAAAGCGTTAGTGTTTGATCGCCCTGAAATAGAAAGAAAACAGGATGGGTTAGCAACATCTACATAGTGATTTTGACTCCGTTACAAACACTTTGGTGCTGATTGATAAGGACTTTGTTTACTGGATACTCTAGAATATCACTTTTGATAGTTCCAAAAGTCCTGACAACGTCCATCCTCAGCTTATTTATTCTGCGTTGGAAATAAAAGCCAAACCACTGACAGCATATTTAAGATGTCTATGAAAATATCGAAGTTATCAAAAACTGAGTAACCAATCCGTCCTACAAAACTTTAGGTTTATATAGGGTTTATAACCATTACCCTTATTGTTTGACCAGTATGGTGGTCATTCTAGTAGAAGAGATTATTTAGACTTCTGTTCTAAGTCACGTGGAAGCGGATGATCTTTTAGCCAGTTTTAGATCAAGTCTTCCATAGTTGACTAATACTTTTATTGCAAGAGATATAGTTTCTGCAGAATATTAGAATGTTCTCGTAGATGAGATTTTGATGGATCTAAGTTCAACTTTCAAAAAAGTCTCTTACTCAGGTGTTGGAGTGAAACTGGAAGATTACATGATCAGTCCTGATGTTAAAGACGGTTGACTTCTGGAGTTATAGGACACAAAGAATAAGAGTTAACAGTGTCTTATCAACACGTGAATATGAGAAAAACAGGGTTCTTCAGGAAACGGCTTTCGACTTGTTATTTTACTTTTCATAGCTGTTGCCAGGTCATGTCCTACTATTTCCTTGTAATGATACTAAAATTTTGAGAGGCAAACTATATAAGAGCAAGAAGGTTTGAACGCAATCAATCCTTTCAAGAATGCAATAATTTAAATAGGCTTTCGCAATGATTTATGGAACTATTTTATGGATGGAGTGATATTACGCAAAATATTGCTCTAAAAAACATTGTAGTCTTATTTAATAGAGACATGAGACCACTTAATATGTGTAGATCGGTCGCTGACAAAACTTCTGTTGCTAATTTTTTATTCCCAAAACCTAAATTGCTTACCACAAATGTAGATGATTTTTGTAACTGGTCGTCATATACCTGAGTTTACCAAGAATGGTATAAGCTAGTTTTGGCTGAAGTGTCACTCCGCAGTTAATGCCCAACGTGGATTAACCATTCGTATGATCAAGCTACTGAGGTTACTTTGATAATGGTCAGGACCTACTTACTTGCCTACACGCTTACACCTGTCACCCCTCATGGAGCATAGCCCATCGATCACTATTCTCTAACCAACTCCACCCTACAGTCTCCATCCCAGTTCTACCTATTTGTTATTTATTGTTTTCATGTCTGCTTCCGATTTCTCGCGCAATTTATTCCTTGGTCTTCGTGTTTTCCTTCGGTTCCATGCTAGGCCTTGACTAGTGATGCAATTGCGTGATTTCTGCAACATGTGTCCTATCCATCTACAGCACTTTTCCTCAGTTTCTTATTCAGCTGAAAGCTTGTTTATTCTCGCCCACTGTAGATTGTTGTTGGTGATGTTTGGTCAACAGATCTACAGTTTACTGTTTAGACAACTGTAAATAAACACATGTACCTTTTGGATGATGGCCTGAATAGTTCACTAACTTTCCATCCTATTCAATAGACATATCTCGATGTTCGTATTGAAAATTGCAGCTTTGTTATTGGTTGATAGTTGTTCTGATTACCGGCTGTTGTTCATATATCAATATGTTGCGTTCGCTCCTCCAATCCGTGTCTTCACATCGCCATCAGATTCTCCCTGTTTATCGGTGATGGTGCTCAGGTATGTAAAAGTTTCCGTAGTATTGGCTCATTAATTCATTTATGGTTACTTAGGTGGCACTAAGGTTAGAGAAGAAGCGTGGAAATATTAAGGTATTGTACTAGTAAGGATAGATTAGGTAAGTAGAGTGCTACTGATTTTACGTACACAAGTCCATTTTGACATTTCCGGAACCTATAGATGCTCGGTAGATCGCCTAACGATCATTGGTCCGCCATCTAACGTAGAAACAGTCCGACCTGATTTATGATTTATCCGGGGAGCAGTGACATTTCACTTACCGCACGAGATGTTGATGAAACCAGACTTGTATTATGGGTTACAACCAGCAAGGTCCGGTTTAATATATGGAGTGAATATGCTACTACATGTTCTTCTGTGAGATATCAGTATAGTGAAGTATCATTTTTGCATCTCTTGTGCACACCAACAGAAAAGCCTTAACCTACTCCCCAACTCCTAGCGTGGAGTTGAAATGGTTTGATTTATTTTTTCTGGTTACCGTTTTTTCTGCAAGTTAGCTTTTTCGTGGGATGGGGTGGCCGACCCCATGCCAAACCCTCTTCCTTTATCCGGGCTTGGAACCGGCAGTAGCCGTTGAGGTTCTGCAGGCGGAGTCAATATATTTTAAAGGACATTTTGAATAGTATTGAAATTTGATAAAAAAAGAGGATAGATGCACAATAGACTCGTCGTATTGAATTCTTAGTATAAACCGTCAGCTCACCAATTTTAGTAGTGATCGAGTCGAGATTGACTGTGATCACCACTAAATACTAATTACTAGCCCGTCGTTATAAGTGATAGATAAATCAAGGGTAAAGAATATATTTGAACAAGAAAGTGGGCGACTTAAAAAGCAGCATGTGACGAATGATGGCAGCAACACAAACAGATAGTTGCGCGAAAGCAAGTGTTTTTAGTACAGTTAAACAAAAAGAGTTCAATAAAACAATTATTGTTGCAGTTGTGTACAATAATGAATGTCTCTATTTCACCAGTTGCGTTCTCTTCGTAAAAGTATTCCGCTAGAATTCAATGAACTTCAAATAACCTAAAAGCGAATTGCAGAAATATTTAAAACAACTATAAACAATCAATGGTGTTTGCACAGGTAGTTACTCATTCTCTAGACTTAACACACGAACCTGGAACCTTCCAGTCGTCACTTTAAACTCCCATTTACCATTTCACTGCATTTTTTATAAATTAGTTTTATATCAAAACTTGATACTGAGTATCTTTCTAATCCTTATACTCAAGCTGATAACCGGTCAACTACTGTGTTTACATCTATCTAAACTATCAGCGTGTACGGGTAGTCATTCACTCACACAAGCGATATTCTACAAAGTAAATTAAAGAATGTCAGTGAACAAGTATTGCGCAAAGTTAAACAATCAAAAATAACAAATTATTAGCTGATTCAGTTTTCGTATTCTGCTCTCATTGAATAAAGACCTGTACATTTCTTCCACGGTGACAGTGAAAATATTGAAATTAAACCATCAACCTCAAAAAAATACAAGGAAACCAAAACATGCACATTTAATCAATACATCTTTCAAAAGCTTTTTATTGCAAACATATCATAGCCTATTTACTGGAGAATTTTCTGGATATTTCTTGAATCCGAAAATAATTTCATACATGTTCACTAGAAGGCGGTACGCCATGGATAGATGTTCTATCGCTTTTTCCAATTTTCTTGGAAGTAACCATCCGTTATCTAGGTATTTTGTATCAGTAGTTAATAATGTGGCATTTCGTCAAGAAAAACTGCTAAGAGAACGAAACCCCACCACAATTATCCACCTGAGCTACAAATTTTCTCAGCCATCTCTAAAAATCCTATTCAACGAATGATTTATTCGTTGAAAAAGAACCCCATTTTGATTGAATCGCAATAAATTCGTGTTGTTACACAATAGTTAGCTACTGGCATTATTCTAGGTTATAGATTATCCTCCATCTAGTTGAACATGATATTTTACTTAAGTACACTAACTGACTGATTTTTTGCAAATCACTAGCCGTAACTATTATGTACCAATAACAACCAATGGCCATTACACAGTAACGGCAATTTAAATTATCCGTAACTTTGTATACATCTATTCTGGGTCCGAAACTCTGAATACTGGTTTAAAATGTCAATAGAGTGCAATATTATTAAATTAACAAGCATAAATAAATTGAGAGCGATATCCATCCACAAA